GTCTTACTTCTTCCACTGTTGATGGCCTATAGAACAGCAGAGCATGAAGCCACTGGATACACTCGAGCAAAGCTGATGTTTGGTCGGGAACTTCGGTTGCCAGTGGACCTGATAAGAGGATGCCCACCTTACGAAGAGTTGCCTGAAAATGTGTCAGAGTTCGTGAAAGTGTTATTTGAAAGGATGGATGATATTTATCATCAAGTGCATTCAAACTTGAAAACGTCTGCTGATTCCATGAAGCTATGTTATGATAAGAGATCTATTGAAGTCACCTTTGTACCAGGAGACAAGGTGTAGTTGTAGAATCCCAGGAAGACCAAAGGGAGGTGTCCTAAGTTGTCTTCTCCATGGGAAGGCCCATATGACATAGTGGATCGTCTGTCAGACGTGACTTTCCGAATAAATTGTGGTCGGCGAGGCAAGCCAAAGGTGGTGCATGCCAACAGCTTTGGTGTTATCACAGTCCAGAACATTTCAGTTGGGACGAAGTGAATAATGGAACAAAAGATGCCGCTGAAGACGTGTCAACTGAAAAAGCCACTGTCGAAGAAGAAATTCTACCCGGTTTTGAGAAGGGAAACAGTGAAGCCCTTTATGAAGTTACTACCACTTATGTGACTATTACTGATAATAGGACAATTCCCGATGGAGCAGATGAACCTCACGTGAAGCAGAAGTCAACGAGACAGAGACCAGTATGGAAGAAGATACGTCCCGTAAAATTAAGAGACTTTGTTGAATTTTAATTTTGTGTTTGTAAATTCTGTACATTTAATTAAGTTATTGTTAATTATCTATTGGTTTAACTTAAGTGGCTATTGTTCGGGCCGAACAATACTAAGAAAGGGGCAGTGTTACGACAGTGGAAGTCATGTGACGCTGGTAAAGCGTAATGAGTATCTCGAACGTTCCTGAAGGCTCGAGTGTTTGCCAGACGCCCTCTATTTTGTATATATAAGACTGGCAAGAAGTGACGGCATGAGATAATTGCAGACAGGCAGAGGAAGAGATGGACAATTGAGTCAAGCGCGGTAGTGTCCGTATGAAAGTGCGTGAATCGTTCATTGTGAATTATAGCGTGTGTTCAAGTTAAAGTGACTGTGGAAGTTAAGTGTATTGCAAAGTTGAATTGAGAAAGAATAAACTAGTTTTATTTAAGAAAATACTTGTATCGCTGAAGTTTCTCGGAAAAAAAATGTGTACGAAAAATTAACAAACGAACACAGACGTAACAATAACTTACATAACTTCTGTATTTTGTTGTAACGTTGCTCTTTCTTTTCTTAAGGGGTTCTTTTGAATTATCTGGTGAAAATAATTCAACGTCCAGTGCAAGTAATAATAACGAATTAGTTTTGTTTTCTCATCAATGTTTCGTTATAGGCTTGTACTCTTGTACCTTGTTGTAGGTCTACGTTTACAATCGTGTTACTGTATCTGCATTAAACTAACGTGAAAATCGTCTTACATATACGAAGTAACTCGATATGCGCAATATGGCTGCTAACACAGATCCAAAAACATAAACACACTATTGGAAATAGCTTTCTAGCCTCTTGATACTTCATTGTTTCACTGTAAGCTTACTAAGCTTACACACCCATATTTATAATCTAATCCTTGCTATACATATTTTACCAAGTCACTAGATTTTCGGGACTTCAATTTAGAACATTGTAGACCTACTCCCACAAACTTACTTGATTTTATCTTCTTACGCCCTCTAGCAAAGAAACAAATTACAGCATTAAAATATAGTCCATAACAGTATGCAGTTTGTTCACAGATCAGAGCAAGCTCTCTATTTAGAATGAAACAAAAATCACCCTGGTAATGAGTATAGCTAATTAAGTATACTTTTCGTAAATTCTTGTTTATAAAGGTTACAATGCCTTGTTTCATCAGTTGAATACCCTTGCTGTTAACGATATTTTCAGCCGACAATGAAAAATTTCTGATACTAGTGAACTTATATATATATTCAAAAAATTTTAGAAATGAAAATTTAAAATATCTAAATTGGAAATTTTATTATTGTTTTGGTCATATAGAAATTCCACTACTTGAGGGTGACTGCTGCCACTCCGCTTTCTCCGTGTTCCTGCACCATTGCCTTAAATATAATTTCAGACTATGTGGTGGATTGTTTCACTATCAGCATATTGAAAAGCCCTTACTTGTCAGAGTGAAAATGGTAAGTGCTACATTTTGGGGGTGGACATGATTGGTGAACAAAAATTTTGTATATTCCTCTTGATAATATGCGCCCTTTTAAGTGAACCAAAGGACCCAAATCCAACATTTATTCCACAAGAAAATTCCCAATGTTTGGGTAATAAACCAACTATGATCAGCTTGATACTTGTTTCACCTTAAAAACCTATATAATCATTTTTTCTCTCAGTTAGTCACCAAAAATTGGCAGTCACAGTTTTTCTTTGTGACACATGTATTACATTTGATAACCAATGTTGATAGCCTGTGATGCCACTGAGATACAGAAAATTGTGTTTAATAATAATAATGCTCCTGCTTTATGAGTACCCTTATTTGTGGCTCTCGGAAAGATAGAGAGGTCACTGCTCTTACCCATTGTCTTGCAGATTAGTCATAATTTTCTAAGTTTGTGTGATTATAGTAATCAGAAACATCCCCTGCATACACAAATAAATTCAGGGCTCCACAAATTTACACTATAATCAAGTCTGATTGGATAATAGACAACTATACTGTTGCTATTTTCTTGTTTCTTAACAGAAAGCAAGTTTCCATATTTATAGGATCAGGTGTCGTAATAGTCAATGTGTTGGTCTGCGTATCGAAGAGCTCAGGATTCAAAATTTAAACTTTAAATAACAGTCATCACTTGAAGCAGCGGGTGCTAATACTTGGCTGCCTTTTCTATGGCCAATAGTTCAGGATGAGATATTACTAAATATGAATCCTTGTTAAAACTGTTGGCACAATATGGAAACGTTTTACGCCCGTACATAGTAAAACTGCAGCGACTATGCGAAGAGCGGCAAGCATAAAAATTATTTTAAAGAATTGTATCATAGTATTGAATTTATTATCCATAACATGTTACAAAATTGTTATGCCAGTATTTAGTGCTGCTTCTAAAACCATTTATCATTTACTGATTAAGTTCACTTGTGAAAATGTGTATTGTTTGCTTGTTAGTAGTTCACAAAGAGGGGCTATCTGTGCTCTGCCAACCACGGGTCTCGAATATTTTGTAGGAAAGTTATAAAAACGTATGAAAGTAATCTATCTTAATAATCTAGTGAATCGCGAATCAAATTTTATTGCCTCCAACACTGGCACAGCGGTATGTTTGCGTACTTACAATGCTAGAATTCGGGTTTCGATATCCGTGGTAGACAGAGCACAGACAGCTCATTGTGTAGCTTTGTGCTTAATTATAAACAAACATCAAATTTTATTAGTTGCTGAATCTAGACTACAGTGATGATTTTTCTGTTCATAGGAAATTTCTTAGCGTTAGTGCAGCGATAGGCTTCAAGCTAACAAAATTTCAAACTTTATAATTATTTCTGATGCTTTGGTTCACAATATATTTGAAGCTACCAAGATAACTTGCTATCAGCTATACACTTCGCGAACGATATTATAGTTTATTTTACTTTCTGGGGAAAGTTAGAGTACTTTACGATAGGTTACGCTTTGTTCGCTTTAGTTTATGAACTAATTGTCATACAGTATATTATTATTAGTCACTTTAGATAATTATTAAACATTAGTTACAAATTTAACATTTTTATTTTTGCCAATTTGAGATTGTTATCTCGAAGTATTCTGCTTTATTACTTTATAATACAAACGGCACATGTGAGTAGAAAAACTGTTTATTTAATTAATACTAATACCAGTTGTACTATAATTTATAAAACTATAAAAATCAAAATATAATCATAAATAAGTAATTATAACATTATAGGTTACTTTCTTATACTGTTAATTTTATTGTTATATTTTAGTCAATAGTTATACTAAGTTGTACTTATACTGTAAAGTAAAAGTTATAACTTAGTATACGTTATACTCATAGACAGTCTAGAAGTAGTAGTATTACTGATATTAATAATATTCAGAATAAACAAAATTACGACACTTATGATATACAACATTGTTTATTGACAAAAAGGGGGACATAGATAAACGTTTCGGAATTCTATCAGATTTCATCTTCAGTATCTAAAGCAGAATAAAATGAATTTACATAAGTCTATACATTGTCAAAGTACAGTTGCTAGATATAGCGAGAATTAAACACTAAACAGTGATCATGGGGAGAAACTACAGCAAGAAAATACAACGAAAAAAATCAGTAATACGAACATATTAAAATACGTGTAATTTAAATGAAGACTGCATGTTGTTCAGTGTTGGGGAGTGATGTTTGATGTGGAGGGTTTCTTTGATCAATAATTCCAAGTCAGTATTAGACTTGCAGAGGATAGAGAAACTTGAGAGTATAGGTTGATGTCCTATTTCTTCACTATGTTGGCGTATAGAGGAAACACAGGGGTTATTCAATTTTTTTTGCGTTTTGATGGAAATTCCCATATGTTCATAGGCTCTGACGTTTAAATGGCATTTGGTTTTGCCAATATAGGAGGCCTTACAGTCTCTACACGTGTAAAGACAGACAAGCCAAGAACAATAAGGAATGGGGAGGAGATCTTTAGTAGGGAAAATTTTTTTGATGCGGGATGTGGATTTAAAAACTAATCTTAAATCCACTTGAGGGTAGTAACGACCAAGAATGCATTTAAGTTGATTTTTTAAATTTAAGCTTTGTTTGCCAGTATAGGGAAGACACGAGTATATAGTAAGTTTAGGTACAGTTGGTATCTTAATTGGATTTGTGAGTTTCTTTGTTAGGAAGGTGTTGGTAATGTTTTCTAATAAGTGTTGTGGATAGCAGTTGCATTTCAGGATGTCATGTAAGAACGATATTTCAGAGTGTAGATGGAGCATGCTTACTAAACAGAGCTTACAACCTTACTGTTTAGTGTTTAATTATCGTTATATCTAGCAACTGTACTTTGACAATGTATAAAGACTTATGTAAATTCATTTTATTCTACTTTAGATACTGAAGATGGAATCTGATAGAATTCTGAAATGTTTATCCATGCCCCCTTTTTGTCAATAAACAATGTTGTATATAATAAGTGTCGTAATTTTGTTTATTATCAAACTTCGTTTTCCTTCGGACACATTGATTGCTAATATTCAGAATCTAGTTAAACTCAACTTTCTAAATCAAGTTTAATCAACAGTGACTGTTCATTTTAAACTTTTAAAAACTTCCTAAAAGTAAAGTCTATCATATTCTGTTTCTTCTGAATCTGATGAAACACGTTTACAAAACTTTTGTTGAATATTTCATCTTATAAAACAAATGTTTCAATTGTGGAATGAAATTGCATTTTAAAATAAGTCTTGCTCTGTTTAGCGGATATGCTTGACCTAAACTTTTAAGCTATTGTACCATTATTTTGGTTGTGTAACTGTAAGTTAACTATTTTAAAATGTATCCTGGAAGAAATCTCCTTAACAATTAATAAGCAGAAATTACATAAATACAATTAATAGAAAAATATACTTTACGAACTTAATATAGTTCACACCATAACAAAGGGAATTTTGGTTAGTTTGTCTATGGATATGAAATTTTTTGTTTTATTTCTGTTTTAATATTCAAGGTAACTTCATTGAACAGATGGTTTGGCATTGTGCATATTTTTATGTTTTTAATGTGTTTTTAGGACATTGTTTCTCAACATTCAAATGCTTTACAGTTGTAGTTTTCAGTAAAAATTAAAAGATTGACCAAGCCAAAGTTGGTACCCCTGTTTGTTGTTGTTACCTTTCAGTGATTCAAAGACTGTTATTATATAATGTGTTGAATCAAGCAGTAAGTATTTTGAAGACTGCTGAAGCATTGAAATACAGTCTCTAATTGTATGTTGAAATTTCATTCTTGTTAGTAATCTAATGATTATAAGAAATTACAAATCCTATACAAGTCTGAAGAATAAAGGGAAAATTAATAATTTACATGTACATTCAGGATTTGCCTTGTGAACACAGCTTTAATTTAAGAATGAAGTATTAGGGGAATTGGATATTTCATATATGTACAGAAATAACTGTTTTTTGTTAATATATGTTTTATAGGTTCCCATATACATCATGTCTATGGTGGCAGATTTAAAATCTCTTATAGAAAATGAGATTCCAGAAGGAATGGAAAGCCTTCAAGACAGTCACATTAATTTGGAAAAAGTTGCACATTATTGTGAAGATAACTACGTTCAAGTTAGTATTCAACACCTTGTAAAACAATGTAACTACTCTCAAGTTAGTATTGAACACCTTGTAAAACAATGTAACTACTTTCAAGTTAGTACTCAACACCTTGTAAAAACAATGTAACTACTTTCAAGTTAGTATTCAGCACCTTGTAAAACAATGTAACTACTTTCAAGTTAGTTTTCAGTACCCTGTAAAAACAATGTAATTACTTTCAAGTTAGTATTCAGCACCCTGTAAAAACAATATAATTACTTTCAAGTTAGTATTAAGTACCCTGTAAAAACAATATAATTACTTTCAAGTTAGTATTCAGCACCCTGTAAAAACAATATAATTACTTTCAAGTTAGTATTAAGTACCCTGTAAAAACAATATAATTACTTTCAAGTTAGTATTCTTGGGTGTTGCTAGCTGTGAAGAGGATGCTGCTGATTTACAAAATGATTTAGATCATTTAGAGAATTGGGCAAATAAATGGTAGATGGGTTTTAATTATAATAAATGCAAAATAATGCATGTGGGTTATCATAATTTGGATGGGAATAACCTCAATAGTGTTATGAAGGAAAGGGATCTTGGTGTAATAGGCAATCAGTCTCTAAAGCCAACTAAGCAGTGTGCAGTTGCTAGTGGTATGGCAAATAGGATTTTAGGTTGTATCTACAAAAATATTGAATACAAGTATAAAGAGGTTATAATTTCATCGTACAGATCACTGGTTAGGCCACATTTGGAATATTGTGTTCAGTCTTTGGCTCCTTACCTTAGGAAAGACATTAAATTGTTGGAAATGGTTCAGAGAAGGGTTACTAGAATGGTGCCTGGGATGGTGGGGTTGTCATACGAGGAGAGGCTAAAATCTCTCATATTGTTTTCTCCTGAAAACAAAAGAAAATTTAGGGGGATCTGATTGAGGTGTTTAAGATTGTGAAGGGAATTGATAGTGTTGATGTATCATATTTTTTCATGTTTAATAGTGAGAACAGTAGGACTAGGGGACACAAATATAAACT